CAATATTTTATGAAAAATTTTCTCTAATTTATTACTTCGCCTTTTTTTTTTGCAAGAAAATGTGGGAAGATGTCTTTGTTATCATTGAGTGTTTTCAAAGCATTTTATTTGTATAGGTTTGTATACCAGCCTGAAATAACTAAACGAGCAAGCCACCAGGGAGCCTAAAATGAAATAATTTTTAGTCCTCATCAAGGCCTACCCCAGGCTTTTAGCTAGGGGGTGTCCAGGGTGTCTTTTGGACGCCCTGTACTGAAAATAATAAGAAATTGGACGCCCTACTTTTTTGTAGGACACCCTAAAGACGCCCTATTTTTTCCACTCCCAACTCTTGCCATGCACACATGCCTCCCTTCAGCCTTACTATAAATACAAAAATGATGGTTTACTGAAGGAAAAAAACTCAAATTTACACCTGAAAATGCAGAAAGTAGTGTTTGAGAGCATTATGAATTTCAAAAAAGCCCCCCTAAAATCTTGCACTCAGCACGTCTTCACTGTGCATAGCATACAATAAAAAAAATGGACACCCACCAAAAAAATTGTAGCTAAAAGCCTGGCCTACCCACATATCAAATATCAAACCAATCCCTCATAGCCTTCTCAAGTTATTGTGTTTGCACACACACATACACACAAATGCTACTGAAAACATAACCTTCCTGGCCAAGGTATTAAATCAGTATGTTGTTTCTCTCCCCAGACTCAGCAGCAAGCTGGTCCGCCTGCGAAGCCGGGTGAGAGCAGCACCAGCAGCAGCACCAGCACCAGCACCAGTATTGCTGCGCAGTTTGCAGCGCAGGTGGCGGCCACCCTCGACACCTCCCCTAACCCCAGCAAGGACACAACCACCCCTGCCGCCTCCAGCGTGGTATCAGCCGTCGCCAAGGAGACCGTCTCCAAGGAAACGGCAGCCAGGAAATCCGAGAGCCCCAAGCCGGTTGCTGCCGCCGCGCCGCCTACCCCGACGGTCCAACCGGAAGCTCCCGCCGCCGCAACAGCGGTTCAAACCAGAACTGAGGAGCAGGCGGCGCCGTCGGAGCAGGCTGGCGTCGGCGTGGCAACAACCGTATCCGTGGATACGCCCGCGTACGTTCCCGTGGCCGAGCCGTCTTCTGTTGTTCCCGCCAAATCGGAGCCGCCTCCGACAACAACAACGGTAACCAATGACGACACAGACTCGGCTGTTTCCAGAAGAGCGGAGCCTGTTGTTGCCGCCGGGGAAACCAAGCCCGTTGCCATGGGAACCAAGCCTGTAACCACGGTTACGAAGCCGACAGACGTTGCCCCCCCTCCTCAAATGAGCAAGGACTCGAACCCCCCACCCCCGGTACCTGCCCCCAAATCTGCACAATCCATGGTTGTAGATAGCAAAGACAACAAAGATGCAACTAAGGACCGTAATGACACAGTTGCAGAACACAAACCTACTGTGGAAACTACTAAAACGACTTCATCAGCAAAGCCCAAATTGCCAGAGGAAGCACCCAAGCCTCCGACTGCAGGCGTTTCTACGAAGGCTCCTCCCGAGAGTAAATCGGAAGAGAAGCCGGCTGCAGAGGTGGCTGGTAAGAAGCCTGCTGGGGAGACTACCGTTGCGCCGGAGAAGGCTGCTGCTCCATCTGCTGTGGAAGAGGTTAACGATGAATCGCCACAGGGTACGTGTTTGTTTGTTTACTTGTTTATTTTGCCAAATTTTTACACAAGCAACTGGATGATTTTGGAAACGGTCAGACATTTCAGGTAAAATCCACTGCCTTTCATCAGTGACACTGATGAATTGTCAGGAAAGCAGGTTTATAAGTGTGAACTATTGATTTGTTAGTTTGCTTGTTTGTGTCTTTGTGATACTTCCTTGATCTGAAAAAATGTTTCAGATCAAATTTTTGTCCGTCTTTCCTAAAAAGTTGGTGATGAATGTGATAAAAGCCAGTCAGCATTTATTGAGAGCAAACCACTGCATACTTTCTTGAAACATTGTGTATTTTAGCTCCTACATTTTGCATAAAGGTTAGCAAAAGATATCTTAGTTGTTGGTTATAGTTATTGATTAAACACAAGTTTGGATCTGATATGTACTTTGGTCACTTCAGCTGGTATATTTCACATGAAGTGTGTCAAGCCCTCCCCACTGCCCAGGCAACAGACTGACCTCTAACATGGTCGTGCTCTGTGTTCAGGCGGTGGGAAATGAAGTCTTTGTTTGGTGCTACAGCCTCAAGTGACGTTTCCAGACTTCAGAGGCTCATGGTCCAATCATACAACCTTTTAACACTCTTCCTGCTAAGTTGTACTATGCCCATTCCCACTTGGTGCAAGTATGAGCCCTTAGCATGAAGTTAAAAATGCTATCAAATAATAAAGACATCCTCAAATGAAAAGCTTACAATGTAATGGAAAATGGAGTATAAAAGAGAAAATAGATGTTTCAGCTTGGGAATTCTATTGTGCTACATGTAAATATACAAAATTGTTCCACAAAATACCATCTTCACATGTAGATTTGTGCAGTTAAAATTGCAGGTATTTCTCTTTTAATGATATCCTTCTTGCTAGGATCTTGATTTGAATTGTCTGAGAAACAGTGAAATGAATTGGTAAGGCCCAATGTCTGTATGTCTTAGAAAAAAGGAAGTTGCATCAGAAAGTTTGGGTAGCAACAAGATAAACCAGTGCTGTCTCCCCCTCCCAACACCTCCAAGTGGGCTAGTCCTACATGTCAAAGGTCATCAGATACTTGCATTATGTAAAGTATAGTCAAGCAACCTTTGGTCGATTGTTCCCTCCCTTGGTTTTACACCATGTGCTAGGACTTAATAAGGAATCTTTTCTTTTATATGACGTCTTATACTGTATCAGGGACCAGTTTGGACCAAGGCCAGGAAATGAGGTACCTTCACAGTTAAAGGTTTTTCAGAAAAGACTGAGTAGGCTGAGTCCTAGCTGATCTAGAACAGATGTCACCTTTCTCATAAGGTGAAGTTTAGTCTTTGGTGGAGGAACGTTTTCAGCTTGGGAGGGCGGTGTTAAGCCATCGTGTGCACTCGAGGATTCTTAGAGTTGGTCTAAGAGCGTACTGCAATGTCCACAGGCATTTATAGAGTGGTTGGAATTCGAGGAATGCAGTCCAACAGCCAATAGTGAAGGCTGGTAGGTTCGCGCAGCTCTGACTGCGATCGCTTGTGCTGGGGGTTAGAGTTACGATCCAGGCATTTTTCACCCTGACTATTTTTAACCGGTAGCCGAGTCAAGTTACTTATGACTGTATTTTTTTTTCTGTATGAACAGTTAGTGGATTATTCATGTAGCGTCACATAATGTGGTAGCATATGGAAGAAAAAAAGATTGATAGTTACAAGTATGGAAGATTGGAATGGAGTTTCGGCTTTCCAGTTTACGAGCGTGACAGAGTTTAGCACTATGGAAGAAGGAAGATGAGTAGAATCTTTTCGCTCAGGAGGCCTCCTCTTGTCACATCAATTTTTGGTAACGCGCAGACAGAGGAGGGTGGGTAGAGTCTGGTGGCATTTTGGCCGGAGTCCAGCTAGCCAAGTGTGAGTGCTGGTATCAGACGACGTACCAGGTTTTTCTTTCCACCATTTTGTGGTAGGATCTGTGGTGTATTGGAAGCCGGCATGGCCATAATTTTTCTCTACTGTGTACGGGAAAGAAGATAGCAGCCATGCCTCACTCGAAGAGAGGTTTGTATGTACTGTACTGTGTGTGTGTGTGCTTCTATATTTGGATAGTGATCAGACTGCCTGATTATATTGCGTTGTGCTGATGTAAAAATTAGAACACTTTGCGGCAGCCATGTTGGAAACTCAGGTCATATCGTCAGCACACTTGTACCAAATCTGTAACGTATAAAACTGCTGGGATGAAATTTAGCAGTGCCAGGAGATCAAAAGGGCATTCTTTCCCCCAAAGCCTTGGGTTTAAATCACTTCCTTATGTCTGCAGATTGAAATGTGCACTGATGTGTTACAGAGAGACTGACTAGAGAATGTTAATAACCTAATTTATGGCAATTGATTTTAATTATGTCCCTGGTAATTGTTACTCTGTAGTGACCCTAGATTTTTGGAAGGTTTTCTTGTTTTGTGTTACGCAGTTTTGTAGACTGGTTTTTGGCACAGGATCTGTAAAGTAATTTGAAACAGTTGTTGTATTTGTAGTATTGGATTACCATTTGTTACATCACATTTTAGAAATTAGAATTCAGATAACCAGTCATATTTTTGAAATGATATATTGAGATAAATTTTCTATGCCGTATTTTGATGAATATTGTTTTAAGATTTTCCCGGCTGTCTTGTAAGATTTATTATATCAACTAAATTCTGCCCCCCCTCCCCCACTTTGATAACTC